CCGAACCTGCTACGTGAACAGGGAAATAAAATGGGCCGGCCCGCTAGGGTACTTACCCTGGTGAGCCGCGTGCCGAACGTTGCCAACCCCTGGCCTAAACAGTTATTCTATTTTGTTGTTCTGCATTTGAGTTTTCCCTCCCAAGTGTAGTATTTTGCACTTGTCTTTCTTGACTTTCATCTTGCTGAATTAAAACCAATTCTCCAATTTGTCGAGATCCTTTTGAATTTCAATCCTGTCCTTCGAAGTGCTTGCAATCCCTCCCAGCTTGGTGTCATCCATAAATTTTATAAGCATACTCTCCACTCCGTTATTCAAGTCATTAATGAAATATTGAATAGAACTGGACCCAGGACTGACCCCATTTGACCCCACTAGATATGTCCTCCCAGATTGACAGTAAACCAATATTAAATACTCTTTGAGTATGGTCTTTCAACCAATTATGCACCACCCATATAGTAATTTCATCTAGACTACATTTCCCCAGTTTGCTTACAAGAATGTCATGTGGGACCGTGTCAAAAGCATTACTAAAATCAAGATATATTATGTCTACAGTTCCCTCACATCTACTAGGTCACTAACTCAGTCAAATCATACTAGACCAACCTACTCTTGAAAATCCACGTTGGCTATTATTTATTACCTTATTATCCTGTAGGTGCTTACAAATTGATTGTTTAATAATTTGTTCCAGTATCTTTCCATGTATTGATATTATGGTGATTGCTTTATAATTGCTTGGGTCCTCTTTGTTCCTCTTTCTAAAGATAGGTACTGTGTTTGCCCTTCTCCAGACATCTGTGACCTCACCTGTCCGCCAGAGTTCTCAAAGATAATCGCTAACAGTTCTGAGATTGCTTCAGTTAGCTCCTTAAGTACCCTAGGGTGAATTTCATCAGGCCTGCTGACTTGAATACATCTAGTTTATCTAAACATTTTTTAACCTGTTCTTTCACAGTTCAGACTTATGCACCTTTCCCCTTGTTGTTAATATTAATTGTGTGAAGTATCTGGTCACTATTAACCTCATTAGCAAAGAATGAAGTAAAATAGGCATTAAACACCTCAGCTTTCTTGATGTCATGCATTCTTAATTCTCCTTCCCCACTAAGTAGTGGACCTACACTTTCCTTCATCTTTCTCTCACTCCTAACTCACTTATAGAACCGCTTCTTATTGCCTTTTATGTCCTTTTCTAGGAGTAACTCAATTTGTGCCTTAGCCTTTGTGATTCTATCTCTCCAGGCTCACGCTATTCTTCTGTACTCATCCTTAGTAATTTGTCCATGTTTCCACTTTTTGTAGGATTAATTTTTTATTTTCATGTATCATTCTCTTGGCTGTATATTAATTTCTGTCTTAAGACTGGTTTAAAAATGTCCATTTAGGCATTACTTTCCTCAGGTACAAAGTTGACAACTTTAAAAATTTTGGGCCTGATGAGAGAACAGTATAACTGCAAAGAAACCAGGGCAGTTGCCCAGATGTAAAACTGGTGTAAAAGAGAATCTGACCCCAGGTTATGAATACTGCATACAAACAAAGTAAGGGTATTCAGCAAATTGGTAACATAAAAATGTGGGAGAAGAGAAAAGATAATCATTAAAATTATTGATGTTCTGAAGGACTATTTTCTCATGGATTTGAGGACACACATACAACACTAATATTTGGGTTTGGGGGTTTTTTGTTTTTTCACAGATTTGGGATCAAACCCTGCTCACATTCACCATGCAAACAGTAGAATAAGAACTTGTCTAGGTCCCCTTTAAAGCCAGGAATAGACCCCATTTTACCAAACCTATAAAAACAAAAAATTCAAATGTGAAAAATCAAAAGTTACACACAAATCTCCTTAATTCCCTGGTTACAACTCCCTGGAGACATTATTTGTATTTGGACCAGGACATGCTCTCATTGACATCAAAAGGAGTATAAATTGTCAGTTTAAAATCATGGTACAAATAAACTTACCTCAAAGTTACTCAGCAATGCAGCATTTGCGTCTTTCCTGGAAAACAAAAAATTATGCATGTCTCAAATGAAACTGTCAAAAATCTATTCTCTATTCTTTGCTGATCTGTGTGGACACTAAAAAAAAAAGGAACACTTCTTGTTAATTTCTGAGATTTTTTTTTTATAAAATCTTCAGGATCACAATTCTGTTAAATCCTCTATAATTTCTGGCTATTGCTGTCTTTCGGAGTTACTTATTTTTGTACACTCCAAATGCAGCTATTACACAAACTAACTGTTTAAGAATATTTGGCTACAACTTAGCCCACAAAGCATCAGGAAGTGTTTAACTTGCACAACAGAATCCTCTGAACTGGGACACCCCAACGAATGGCTTACCATCCTAATTAAGAACCTGCCCCATTATTCCAGGATTAGATAAAACTCCCTGAAGTTTTGTCTGAGTGAAGAGTGACAGGCAGAACCATTACAGAAGACTATTATAAAAAAGAAAAATATATACAGTACACAATACAAGTGAAAGAATAAAATAATATTCATTGCACTTCATCTTAATTTTGTTCTTTTAATGTTTATTTGACAAGTTCTACACTAGCAGACTGAAGTTTAGAGCTTCCCACCAACCAAATGCTTCCCTATTAAGTGAAACGTATAATAATTCTATCCCAATTAACCAAGAATCATTGACATTCACTATCATTAGGCTAAACAGGTTTGCTCTGAGTTAAGCATGCCCTAACTAAGTAGAGGATGCTGTAATTTTATTTTTTAAAATAAATAAATAAATGTTATGTAGAAAAACTAGCCAAGAGCACAATACATTCTGCTGAGCAAACAGACAGTAGTAACAACAGAAAGTTACCATACCAAAAAAAAAACGCTTTTCTCTGAGGTCTATGTTGCACCATATAAAAAGGTAGAATGTATTGTCAAGTAGTCAACTGTTTGAATAGAACTGTCACATTCATCACATTCAAACAAGCTAAATGCCTTCCACAAACTTCCATAGGTGCTATTATTGATTTTAAATGAAAGGGACCTCCTAAACTGACTCGAGAGAATCTTCAGCAAGTAAGCTCACACACACATCAGTTTTCATTCATGTTTTACGAACCATATCACTTTTGTTTATTTGGTAAATGCAGTTCTTTGGAATCTTTGCATTCAGTCAATTGCCACAGAAATCTTTATGGATGAGGACATTCTTTGTTATAAATAATAATAATGCCATGGAAGAATCACATATAAAATCATCCAATTAAAAAAGTGAGATGATTATGTGCAGTAAACACAAGGTTTGCAGGATGTGGGTCTTTTTAAACTACATTTAAATCAAAGGATTGATTTGTTTTTAAAACTGTACACCTCTACAGTTCAGGGCCTTTTAGGGCACAATGGCTTAAACTCTTTTCATGTACCAATGTGTGCCAAACCTAAACCCATCCAGACCTTGGATCTTCTCAACATTTTATATTTTGCCAGGCTAGTAGGATTTTAAACTGAACAATACAATAGAAACATTATTGCTAGTGTGCTTATTCAAGTTGAGTTACCTCTTTATGAAAAACTGGCACCGTTTATAAAGTATAGATTTCAGTTTTCACATCAGTCCCAGCCCTCTTATGGGTAATAAAAAATAACCAACCAAAAGATTTAAAGAAAAGAATGTACATAAAATACCAGAACATATTTTATTTTTTATATCAGTTTGATATATAGTTTTATATCAGATGTCTAAACATAGCACTCCGCTGACTCAGAGTTGAACGGAAAAGGAAAACTGACTTGATTTCAACACCAACTCTGTAATGTATTAGAGTCCCTTCAAGAGTTATCAATGGCCTTAATTGCTGTACTAAGTGAAATATTACTGAAAGATTTTTCTTGATATAATACTATTTATTTTACTGTATGGGAGCCCTTATTTTTAAAAAATTATTATTGGCACCTTATGCTTCTAACATTGAAAACTACATTCCATTTCTAAACCAAAACATTTTGTAAACTTTTTTTTGGGGGGGGGGGAGAGGGGGAGGAATATAACAAATTTTCATCTTTGAATTTCGAGAGCTTTGTGACAATTTTATCTGAAGATTTTCCTCTTCTAAGGACTGCTTGAGGAACAAGATGGGGGTGTTTGTTCATTAGGCCCCCAACAGGGCTGAGAGTTCTACATGGGGTGGACTGCACAATATTCCCACCACATTCAATGGGTCTCAGCACTGGGCAAAGGTCCACTCCCACGGACTCACTGCAGGATCAGGGTCCTGCAACCACTTACACACATACCTAACTTTACTATCATGAGCAGTCGCATTGAAATCAATGGAGCCATGCTCAGCTGTAGAGTTAAGCATGTGCATAAGTGTTTGTTTGCAGGATCAGACCCCCAGTTATGATAGGTCCTATTCATCAAAGGAATGAGTAGGAATTTTTCAATGGGCCAGATCCTGTCACATGTTGAATAGCCCCTTATGTCCTGATCCTGCTAATTGCTTTGTGCATACACAGAGGTCCTTCCAAGTACAGTAGCTTCCAGGGCAGGGGCCTTACTCTAAAAGGTGCAACTCGGTTTAAGGCTGACAGAATACGGTCCTATATTTTTAATAAAAACAACACCCCTCTTCAGTATCCACCTCTGAATTTCAATAAGTAGCTTTAATTATACGAATGGAGAGACCGCATCTCAGATGGTATAGAACACTGTTAGGTCCACTGATGTCAGTGAAGAAGCTATGCCGACATACATCAGCTGAGATTCTAGTACCTTAATACCCATATTTATCAGAAATCAGTGCTGTATGTATGTAGATAACAGCACAACTCAACATTTATGAAACTTGCTTTCTATAAAGACTAGTTTAATAATTATCTCTAGAATTCATTTTTAAACTTCAAAATAGATTAAATGAAAAATTAGATTATTTTGTGCCTCAGAGATATTGCCAAAATGGTAGTTTAACTTTTTGGAAGTGCGTACTACTGTCTATTTAGAAATATATAGGTTTGTGTTGTATACATGCACAGCACCCAGATATACAACAAATTGCTGGAGTTCCCAGCACTACTGCCCTGAGCCAGCACTCTTCTGCTGTAGTAACTTTCTGGTTTGTTTGTTTTGATTTTTAATTTTGTTTCATGTTTTTGTTTATTTTTGTTTGTTTGCCTTAATTGCTTTGAAGGTTTGTAGGCTAGGCAAGAATTTGACTTGCCTCTTGTGTTTCGAATTGTAGGTACATGCACATTATGTTTCTATCCTCTCTGTCCCAGTCTGCTCCATTCTTGCAAGCAGGCATAAAGGTCCTCAAGGAGCCTCAAAAGCAAGATTTGGATTTAACTTTATGGCAAGAACAGAGAAAGAAGATGGGAAGAATGTTATGTCCATGCACGTCTGACTAGAAAGGATGGTTTTATTAGAGGGTTAAAACAATTCGCATGGTGTTTTACTCAAATAGATGTTTCAGCAATATTTTTCCAGCAAACAAAAATGCAGTTTCTCATTAGAAAACTGTTAACAAACTGTCCAAGAGCACTGGCCTAATCTGGAGTATCAATACCTAAATAATTACAGTTTTTAACATATTCAAAGTATTTTGCCTCCTTGCCTCCCCAATGTTCCTCTTAATTTACACAGGGAGAAAGTGAGGTGATTATTAGATTTGGGGTGCAACAAAGCACTGCACTACGCCCACCATGCAAAGCTACTACCCTTCGTATATTTCATGGGTCCACATAGTACTTTGCAGCCATGTCCTGCATCCCACCTCAATTCTGCATCAGTGCAGGATGATACTACATAGCACGGATGAGGTCAGAAGACAATTATTCTGATGTGGTATCGTGATGGGAAGCACTAGATGTCAAGGTTCAGCCTTGACAGAGTACAGGCCCCTGTGATTTTGGGACACAACACTGTCAAAGTGCAAACACCACCACCTTCTGCAGCCCTGACCTTGGCCACGGAAGCAGCTGGCAAATGGGTGAGGGGGAACCCTCGCTCCCACAGGTTTAAGGGGCAATTTCACCTCACCTCAGCAGCCCTGTGGGGTCAGGATCCCACCTCCTACACAAAATTCTCAGTCAGCCCCAACGGAAAGGGAAGCCCCCGGAAAACACCTCACACACCATGGTCAGCTCCCCGTTCAGACAGATCCCAACCAACGGGGGTGGGGGGGGTCCCCTTATCCTTTAAAGTCCACATCCCACTCCTGTAGCCAGACCCCGCCCCAAGAGGAGCTCCCCTGTAGCCAAACCCCCACAGAGGGGATACCCTCCCCCAGCTCCCCTCGTATCCAGACCCCCCCAAGCGGGGCTCCCCTTCCCCAGTTCCCCCTCCAGCCAGACCCCCCCAATTGGGGCTCCCCTCCCCCAGCTCCCCCACCAGCCAGACGCCCCCCCCCCAGCGGGGCTCCCCTCCCCCCAGCTCCCCCACCAGCCAGACGCCCCCCCCCCAGCGGGGCTCCCCTCCCCCCAATTCCCCCCGCAG